TGAGGATCAGAGCTCCTGTCTAGGCTCTTTGAATCAAATGTTCTGTGCTAGATGTCTGCCTCAGGTGAAGGTGTGGAGAAAGGAAGCACAGGGACCCTGGATTTGCTTACCTTATCAATGGGTTCTTTAACAGTTGGCTGGTAATTTGCATTCCTAACTAGACTATTCACTTATTCATTTTTTAAAAGCTAATGAACATTTACTACGTGCTAAGTTCTGAGAGATACTGTCCCTGCTCCCAACCTTTACCATCAGGTCTGTGGGATAGGGGATGATAAACAAGTAAACAAGTGAACAAAATTAAAGCTGGTGATGAGAAATACAACAGCATAGAGCTTGTAGGACCAGAAGGAGCTTGGTACATTTAAAGTACAGAAAGACCAATGTGCGGGCCTGTAGTGAAAGACACCTAGACACTTATTGCCATCCTTGGAATTCTACAGAAGCTCAGCAGAGTGGCCAAGTTAGGGGAAGGAGGGGAAACACAAGCAACCTGAGAGGGTTTCATACCATCCGTAGCCGTAGCCGAGAAAGCCTTGAGGATTCTGACAGCCACCCCTCCTTGAGGCTCTCAGCAATAGCAGTTCAGATAGGGTGCTAGCTTTAACCATTTGGGAGCTGACTCTGTAGTAGTTCTTTCCCAACTAGATGGAAGCATTTCACTGTTTCAGACTAGCTCTAGTCATTGTGAACAGCATCAGGACCGTACATCATTGGGCTAGCCACTCCCCCTTCTGCCTCCCCACCCAACCCGAGGCCAAGCCCAGCATCTGCTCTCCTCCAGAGGTCAAGGGCATCCTCTGCAGTAGAGGGCTGACTGCAGATCAAGGCTTTGTTTCCATCTTTAAAAGAGGAAATAGGGCTGAGGCCATTAGGGTGGGGTATGAATTAAGGTCAGGAACCCTCACTGCCCCCCCAACCCCCCCCTCAAAATCCACAGCTGAAGAAGTGGGTAGGGGGTGGAGGACAAACAGGTATCTTGAGAACACGTGTTTCCTCTTTCTTTTAGAATCAAGAGAGCCACTGCCTTCCCATCTCAGTATCATCTCCCGCTCCCAAAAGATGTCCCAAGACCACCCATGGTGACTTCCTCTTTCTTCTAGACCCCAACCCAGGGACCGCACGTTCCCTGGACTTGTCCCTGTACCCACAGGGGCCAGCCTCTGAGCTGCTAGCATTTTCTTCTTGGACAGAGTCCATACGCTTGCAGTATGAAATGTAAGTATGGCTTGTATGGACTTTGGTTATCTTAATATTCCAAAAATGCTTTCGCATGAACAATAAACAGACGCCAGAATCCATAACTAGTTCCTCCTGGCACAAGATGTAGAGACGTAGGACAAGCTCAGTAACTGTGGAACAGGCCCCAGCACAGGCCACTACATGGCACTGGGATCTGTGTTCAAGCAGTAGACTGGCCCTTTCTGGACTGGGGGCATAAGGCTTGTTGGGGAACCCAGGGCAAGCCCTGCCCCTCTGTGTGCCTCCATTTCCCCAGAAAAGTCTCTGAGAGCCCTTTAGCTGGCCACCTCTGATTATATAGAATGAAGTCCTGAGGCTGCTGGGCAGAGAGGTAGAGCCAGCAGAGCAAGCAGGTTGATGAGCCTGGCTGGGATGGCTGAGAAGCTTGGGAGCCGGCCCCTCCCACCACTTCTCTCTCCCGCCTGGTGCCTCCCAGTGCACTGCACATCTCCTTCGATTCTTGTGGTATCCACATAGAAAGGACTCAGCTGTGCTGTTGCTGCCACTCCATCCACCCCTGCACCTCAGTCATTAGGGTCATGTGAACCCAATATAGGCAGAATGTGCCAGAGGCCCATGCAAGGTACTGAGGCTTGGCCTCCCATGTCTCTGCATCCCCTGCCTCTGGCTCCAAAGAGTCATTACTCATGGGTCCCAGGCAGATCCCACTGTCCTGCCTGCTGGATGTGCATAGTGCCCCATCCAGGTATCCACTGCTGCCCTCACTGTTAGGACATCTGGCCTGGTCCCTGCAAAAGAAGGAGATGGTACTGCTTTCACCTCCTGTGCCCTCTCTGTCCTCAGTTTCCTTGCCTGGGCAAGTGCTGGGCCATGTGGGCCATGCTGGTCAGCCAGGTGGAGGGCAGAGGCCATCCTGAGTATCAGTCCTGGAGAGGCCGGAGCAATGGTGAGACCCTGGGCCCCATGTCCTTTCTGCTCTATGGGGAGAGCACAGGAAGCCTAAAAGTATTTGGACAGCTGTAAAGTGTTGTACCCTATACAAACATGTATGGATCAGGCTTCTCATTTGGTTGTTCTAGTAACAGGAAAGACTCTAGGGGACCTGCAACTGCCTAGGGACGCCCAGAGAAGGTGTAGTAGGGCCGGGTCAGTGACTACTCTCCCCTCTGCCCTTCACAAGGTCACTTGGCTACTTTCCACAGTTCTCAAATGTGCCAGAGAATGAGATCCCTGGTGAGTGTGTGTGTGTGTGTGTATGTCAGGGGTAGAGAATGCTCAGGACCAGCTGGCCTGGGTAGGGTTTGGGGAGCTGGTGAAGGGTGGTGGAGACCAACGTGGATTGAAAGAAGGCAATCAGAGCTATCTTGTCTTGGGCCGTTCCCCTCTCAGGAGTGCTTCGGAAACCTACTCACACACACAGGCCCAGCCGCCAAGATATTTCTCTGTGCATCTATGTCCCAGGACTGCCAAAAGACTTGTCTTCGTGGGAGAAAAGGGAGGCATATCCTGCAAGGCACATGGAGACCCACATCTTGTACACCTTGGGTGAGATCCTGGCCCAGCAGCAAGCGGGGGCCAGCAGGCAGAGGTGTGTTAGGGCCTGATACAGGTGCGTCCAAGTTCCACCTTCAGGAAAAGGTTTTAACCAAGAAAGAACATATGGTCTCCTATGCTTGAGCTTCTCTATTTACTTCACTGACTTCAAATATTTTTGAGAATTACATTATGCTTTTTGATAGTTTACTTATATTTTATTCTATGTTTAGGAAGAGAGTCTGCGTCCCTTCTCTGACTTCCTTATTTATTGTTCCATCCCCATACTGACATACAGTCCTGCAACCCTGAAAATGCTCCAGGGCAACTGTGAGGATCCTGTGGACTCTCCCCTGGCCCTCTCTCTCTTGGCAGGAGGAGGCTGTCTGTGATGAACAGGGAGCCCGTGATAGAGACTTGGGCATCTGAGCAGAGGAGAGGCATGAAGGAGTATCAGAGGGGAGGCTGGCCAACTGCCGAGCGTGTGAGCAGGCGGCCGGCCTCTGGAAGTTGTGCCTCTGCCCCTAGGGAGGGCTACGGCTGCCTGCCCATGAGCATCTGTGCAAAGCCAGAACCCATCGGGAGCCAGAGAGAGAGAATGATGCTCCAGGCTGGTGGAAAGGACTCGATGCCAACTGGACATGAAGTCACCTGTGTGTGCACAAGCACATGTGTGCTTCTGTGCACATGCCTACTCCTAGAGCAAACACAAATGTTCCTAGGAGGGTTCTTTCACAGTCATTCCCAAAATCACAGGCTTTAAAAGATGCTGTCATACCCTGCTCCTCTCACCCCAGACAGCTATGGTCCACTGGCAAGCACCCCATTTCCTGGCCATCACTATCTGAGTGGCAACCCAGGGCCAAGGCTGGACAGGCATGTCCTGAGAATACCAGGTGAAGTCACAAAGCTGAGACAAGAACATGTGCCTTTTCCCCTCCAGGGTCCCACCTCTCTCCTGGAGTCCCCTATAGCGGGGAGAGTGGTAGGCATGGCCTATAGAGAAGTGTTCTTCATTCTCCCAGCCAGAACCAGGGCCCTAGTTAAGGGGAGGAGACCAGATCTACTTGTGCAGAGCCAATCCATGCATTTGCACATTTATTTACCTAGTTTGCTTGTTTATTTTACCCATTTTAAAATTGAAAATACAGTATATGCTCATGAGAAAACACTCAACAGTACAAAAGATTATACAAGGAAAAGGACGTCCCCTCCCACCCCAGGCTCCAGACTCTCCCCAAAGACATCACTATTAACAGTTCTTTGTGTGCAATCTTCCAAAATTTCTCTTTGTTCATGAAATTATTTACATGTACAAACAGGGTTCTTTTTCTGAATTAAAGGGCTCACACTTCACACACTATTTTCAACTTGCTCTTTTCTCTGGGTAACTCGTCATGTTCTGTAATAGCTGCAGGGTGTCTGGGTGTCTATGCTGTCACATGCATGATAAGTCCTCTAGCAAAAGGCACTCAGGTGTGATTTCGTGACCACAAACATTCCTCGGTGAGCATCCTTGACCAAGGGTCTTTAACTGTGTGACTATATTTGAAGGATAAACTTCTGAAATTGAATGTGTTGGATCAAAGATATCATAGAAGTGCTCTCAAAAGAACATGGCCAGATGTCAGTGAAATGGTAAGAATAAGCACCTCCAAAAATCCTCCTCCCATTAAAGCAACAAGAAAACTTGCAAAACCAATCAAAATGAATTTTTTTTTTAACTTTAGAAATTAATCAGGGGCTTGGAGCAAATTAGGGAGCATTCATTCACAAACAAACAAACAAACAAAAAACCCCACTGAATCTCAGTCAGAATCATAAGCTTCCTGCTCCCTGCATCGTCTCCCCTCCCGCGCCCCCACTTATTAGTGCCCAGTGCCTTGAAAAACAAAACCCCATACTTGTCATGAAAAGCCTGGAAACCACCAAGGGGAGCAGAACAAGAATGAAATTCTTTCAAGGCCTCATTCCCAGAAAATTATCATTATCGGACCTGTCCATTAGTTCTCTGGAAGATCCCATTGGCAAGAATGTCTGTATTTGACCAAACTCAGAGCTCACCCAGTACAAAAAACCTGTTTTCCAGAATTGTCAGAAACAATTACAGATATTTAACTTCATAGCTGCCTATAGCAGTAGATAACAGTTGGAGTGAACAATAGTCAAACTAAAAAGCTTAAAAGACAAAGGTCAGTAATGAGATGTCCATAGGGACTTTAAAAAGTTGCAATTTAGTCCTTGGAATCCAGAAGGCCACATACCTTGGCTACAGAGGTCCTCCCAGAAGAGTGAGGAGTCCTGGCCCACATCAGGCTTCACAGCCCAGGGTTCCAGTGCCAGGAAGAAAAGTCCCCACTTCTGCCTGTGAAAACCAGTGGAGATTGTGGCTTAGTGAGATGGAGGGCTGAGGGAGTCACAGACTTTTCTCTTAATGGGCTTGTGCCTGAACTTACTCAGTGATGAACTTGCTTACTCTGAGCTCTAGCTCTGGGGCAGCAGCCCGAGGAGTGCCAGGAACATATGGGGAGAAACTGAGTTGTCTGGCTTCAGAGCAGCTTTCTCCCAGACAGAAGTGCTGGCAGTATTACTACTTTGTTGCGCCCACCCTCGCCTGGATTGCAGACCCAGGTGGGTGCCATACTGGAGTATCCATCAATATAGCTAACATTAGTCACCCCACTCTGGTGATTCTCTGAGGTCCCGCCTTTCCTAACATGTGGGCCCACTCAAGCCACTTCCAGTAGATTTTCCATACAAAGGGCCTGTCGTGGCTCATGCCACAGACTTTTCTAAAATCTCTCTAAGTTTCACAGAACTTAAGCAAGTAGCATCCGGACTCAGTGTGCCATGTATCTCTTGGTGAGCAGCCCTAGGCCAACACTAGTGGCAGCTGGCCTCAGTTTACATCTTAGCCTTTTGAGGTGCTTCCAAGCCCAGCATGGAAGGTGGCCATCTATGGATTGGTTGGTGGCTCACGCCAGGTGGCCCTGGGCAAGTCACAGCTGAAGCTGAACCTGATTTGTGGCAGGGCCCCTCCGAGGAGGCCTCAAGGTTGGAACACCCATTGGCTGTGTTGAGTCTGAGCTGGAGCACCAAGTGGGTAACATCTGAGGATGACACACTCAAAGGGCAGACAGGGCAGGCAAGCACTAGAGCCCTGCTAAAGTGAATCCTGCTTTGTAGAGTCAGCCCCTGCACAACAGCTCCTCCACTGGTCATGGCCAGTCTTCACAACCAATCAGCCTGAGGGTCAATCCCTCCCACTGACGAGCAAACAGAAACCAAGACTCAACTATAATAGGAGGGCACACACAACTGATACAAGGGATATACCTACTCAAAGGGCAGAGGGCAGGCAAGCACTAGAGCCCTGCTAAAGTGAATCCTGCTTTGTAGAGTCAGCCCCTGCACAACAGCTCCTCCACTGGTCATGGCCAGTCTTCACAACCAATCAGCCTGAGGGTCAATCCCTCCCACTCT